ATTTTCTTTTTTTTTTTGGTACTGGGGATCGAACTTGGGTCCTTGCGCTTGTGACGCAGGCAGCGGAACCACTGAGCTAAATCCCCAGTCTGATTCTGATATTTTCTATCTTCCTATCTTCCTTCACCTTTTTAAGCAGTTTTCCTTCAGTTCTTTGAGCATATTTATACAGAGTATGTAAAAGTCTCTGTTAAATCTGACATCTGTTTACTCTTACAGGCAATTTCTGTTGGCTACTTTTTTCCCTGTTTCTTTGCATATTTTTTTCTCCCTTGAAAACCAGACATTTTAGCTAATACAGCAACTCTGGATATTGCTTCTACTCTCACCACTGCTTGTTTTTGTTGTGGTCAGCTTGTTTATTTGTTTTATAATTTGGCTAAACCACCTTAGTGAAGTCAATTTTCCCTATGGCATGAAGCTGTTGGTATCACTTTTTTTTTTTTTTGTACCGGGGATTGAATTCAGGACCTCACACTAAGACAGGTGCTGTGCCACTGAGCTAAATCCCCAGCCTGTGGTATCACTTTTTGACAGCCTACCCTTGGGGGTGCACACATATCCTGAGATGACAGTAGTTTTAGCAGGGTTTTTTCTTTTGCATTGTGCAGTACATAATGATTACATTCCTTGTGGGGAGTTGGTACATATACATCTTAATTCTTTTCTCAACACCTTTCCTTCCTCCATCTCTTGATCCCCAGATCATTTGAGAAAGATCTATCTCCCTACTTTGTTTATCTATCTTTTATTTTGCTCTTTATTTACTCTGGATTTTTCATAATAGAGAAAAAAATGGAATACCTAAGCTTGTGTGCTTATTTATTAACATCATGGTCTCAAGGTGCATGTTTTCTTACAATGGGGTAGAGCCTCCATTCCAGAGTGAGGGCTGGGTAAAGGAGAAGAGCCACTAACCTCTCCATTGTACTCACCAGAAATTCAACCTCTTCAACTTGTAGTTGGAGGGATAAAACATGTTAATAGTCTATTCCCCTTAGTGAGGTATAATAATCACTGAATGGGGCTGAGGGGAGAGAAAGCCATGTCTTCTTTGCCACAACATCTTTTTTGTTGTTGTTGTTGCTGTAATGCAGACTGAAGCCAGGGCCCTTTGCACTGAGCTACATTCTGAGCCCTTTATTTTATTTTATTTTATTTTTTTGTACTGGGGATCGAACTCAGGACCTTTAGCTTGTGAGGCAGGCAGTGAACCACTGAGCTAAATCCTCGGCCATTGAGCCCTTTATTTTTTATTTTGAGACAGGGTTTCATTAAGTTGCTAAGTTGCCTGGCTAGGCTTAAACTTGTGATTTGCCTGCATCAGCTTCCCAGACTTCTGGCATTGGAGCATGTACCACCATGCCCAGCTTACACTCATCTTGAGTGGAGCTTTTGTTAAGCTGAAGGGAGAAGGGAGTGAATGGGTTGCAGCTCAAATGTCACACTCTTGCTGTTGCTTATCCAACTTTCAGTAGATTTTCTTTAATAAATATCTCTTAATTTGATGTAGGACAATTTCCAGAAACATTTTTTATTTTTATTTTTAAATTTTTTTTGGTACTGGGAATCGAAATCGGGTCCCTGTGCTTTCAAGGCAGGCGATGAAACTACTGAGCTAAATCCCCGGCCCATTTTTTGAGACAGGGTTTTACTATGTAGTTCAGGTTGGCCTTGCACTCAAGTGATCCTTTTGCCTCAGCCTCCCGAGGGCCACCATGCCTGGCTCAGAAACTTTAAATGGCTGCTTTTTGTTTTGTTTTTTTGTTTTTAATTACTGAGGATTGAACTCGGGACCGTGCCCTTGCAAGGCAGGCAGCGGAACCACTGAGCCCTGGTCCTAAATGGCTGCTTTTTAAACAGTTTTCTGCAGCTTTGCCTATTTTGCTAGAAAGCAGATCCACAGGGAGCCTCTTATGCCACCATCCTGAATGTAGAACTATACCCACCATGTCTTACATTGAAGCTGTAACTCTGGCATAAAAAATTCCTATTAGAAGAGATACTAAAAGACCTAAACAAGCTTTCTACAGACAGGCTAGGCCTGAACAAACTTGAATGAATCACTGCTACTACCAGCCACAGACTTATCTTCTTTAAGCTCCTCAGTCTAACTCAGCCTTAAGACTTTTATATAAAGCCAAGCATGGTGGCCCACACCTGTATCCTTACTACTCTGAGAGACTGAGACAGGAGATTGAAGTTTTGAACCAAACCTGGACAATTTATTGACTTAGAACCTGTCTCAAACTAAAAGATAAAAAAGAGAGCTAGGATTTACCAGTGAAAAGGCTGGGTTCAACCTCCATACCAAAACAAACAAAAACAATAAAAACATTTTACATGATTAAAAATCTGCTGGGTAATTGATAGGCCAAGTGCTCTAACACTGAGCTATACTTCAGCCCCTACTAAAATTTGCTGCTGTTTTTTGTGGTGCTAGGAATTAAACTCAGGACCTTGTGTATGCGAGGCAAGTGTTCTACCACTGAGCTATACTTTTAGACCATTACCAAAAATGCTAACAGTGTCAAGGATATTGTCCTACTCTTTCAGCTCTTTTAGCACACTAAAGATGGATAAAGTTTGCACTTCTAAATAGAAGAACCCTGATCCTTTTGCCTGAGTAAAATATATAAACACATTTTAAAATTTATTCACAAAGACAAAGCTGGACATTTCCCAAAGAATTTAGATTTCTAAGAGGTTAGGAAAATACTGACTAAAGGAATAGCTACAAGATATTAATTGAAAAAAAAAACCTAGATTATAATACACATGGCACAACTGCCTTTAGGAAAAATTAAGTTAGATATTTTTATTGTAAATATACAAGCATATAGGGCCGGGGATTTAGCTCAGTGGTTCCGCTGCCTGCCTCACAAGCGCAAGGTCCTGAGATCGATCCCCAGTACCAAAAAAAAAAAAAAGAAAGAAAATATAAAGGCGTATAAATACACAGAAGATTGCCTGGAAAACTCTCTGCTCCTCAGTAATTACCTCTGGTGGCAAAGAGGAAGAGGTGTTTGGAAGTAACTCAATTTTCTTCTGTGTATTTCCATATTGGTTGAAGTTTTCAATAATGACAGTGTACTACATTTTCATAAAAACCATTTTTTTTTCATAAAAAACATTTTTTATATATGTTTTGGGGGTTTTTGTTTTTTGGTACCAGGGATCAAACCCGGGTCCTTGTGCTTGCGCAGCAGGCCGTGAAACCACTGAGCTAAATCCCTGGCCCTTATAAAAACCATTTTTAAATTAAAGAAAACATTTAAAAACTAAAGTAAAATGAATAAATAAATAATCAATCTCCTTAGCTTAGTGGCAGAGAGCTTGTCTAGGACTGTGTGAGGCCCTGGGTTCTAACCCAGAACTGGAAAAAAAAAAGACCAAAACCAAAAAAACTGTTCAGGTAAAGCGGTTACATTATAATCCCTTGACGTGGTCATACCCTAAGCCCTGTTACTGACAGTTACTGCTCTTCTCTCGAGCAAGTCTCTTTGCATTACTCATTTTACATTTCTTTTTTCTTTCCTTTTCAATAGAATACCTAAGCCTTGGGGTAGGAAGGCTGGTCATTACATATGAAATTCTTAAAAAATTGACACGTCTACCATCCTTCATGACGTAGAAGTCATTTGCTTTCCATTTCACAGATAATTTTCATGGCAGGCAGAGAACCAAGAGATAATCAGTTTTCCTAAGGAAGCTATAACACATTAAAATATAAGAGAAGCCAGGCGTGGTGACGCATGCCTGTAATCCCAGCACTCAGGAGGCTAAGGCAGGAGGATCGCCACAAGTTTGAGGTCAGCCTGGGCTACATAGTGAGTTCAAGACCAGCTTGAACTGTATAGTGAGACTTTGTCTCGAAAACAAAACCAAACAAAACCAAAACAAAACCAAACAAAAACAGAGAGTATTCCCCCCTCTATATAATTTGAAATCAGACTGAGAAAAAGGAGTAAGGTACTCTAGTCATTCCTGCTGGGATGTAGAAAAAAATCTGAAATCTCTCCTTTCTATAAAATGGAAACCAAACTTAAGAGTCTAGTTTTATTTAAGATGCAAGATTAGTTACAGGAATACCTTTCTAAAATTTTTTTTTTTTTTTTGGTACCGGGGATTGAACTTAGGACCTCATGCTTGCCAGGCAGACACTGTACCACTGAGCTACATTCCCAGCCCAGGAATACCTTTCTTTTTTTTTTTTTTTGGTAACCAGGGATCAAACTCAGGACCTTGCGCTTGCAAGACAGGCGCAGTGCCACTGAGCTAAATCCCTGGCCCCAGGAATACCTTTCTTATTCAGCCTAAATTGCCTTTGAACACTCACTACAAAGAGAAGTTGCGAAGTCACTGCAAAATTGCCCACATATATCCGCCAAAGACTAAGTTAGACAGGCTCTGTAAGAAACTCAGACTAGGGCTGGGGATTTAGCTCAGTGGTTCTGGCACCCGCCTTGAAAGCGCAAGGTCCTGAGTTCGATCCCCGGTACCAACTCAGACTATTATCTAATTGCAATGGAAGCCACTAATAAGAAAACAAGGAGTGATTAAAGGTAGGCTGGCACACTAAAAGGACTGACAAGGAAATAACAAAAAGCTTTAACAAGCATAACAAACAATGCAAACTGCCCACTGGTATGGGGCAACTAGCTTGAGAAACTGCACCAGGCCCTGAGGGCCTCACTGTATCAAGTTTAATAGAGTAACAAGTTCATGAAAAGGATGACTGAATCAACAAGAGGAAAGAAATTCAGTAACCTCTGTTTAGAAAATGTAAATTCTAGAAAAGTATTCATCCAAAGTGATGCTCAAAAGGCATTACCTCAGCTACATGGGAAATGGCTATAAAGAATGACACTGTTTGGTCTCAATGGCTCAAATATCATTGTAGTCCTTAAAACATCTCATCCACAGTTATTTTAGCATGTTCTAATTATAGGAAAAGGCATTTAAACACTTGCTGAACCCTGGATTAGTAAAAGAAAATATGGTATTTGTTGTAGAGTGTTAATCCCTCAAGGAGTAGTATCTCATCACAGTTGTCCACAGTTGGCAGAAAAATACCTGAACTGGAGAGATCACTTGGGCAACTGAATATTTTCATAAGTATATTTAGAGGAAGACAAAAAATACATATACAAACTTGATCATAATGATTAGAAGAACCTTTGATAGTATAACCTCTTTATTTTGCTGAAGCATTATTGCTGCCAAACATTTATTTACACGAACACTTCTAAAGCCAACTTTATGCCAACTAATTACCTGAGGAGCCACAAGGCAGAGGCTTGCCACACACTTTTCCGCATGAAGGGACAGGATCCATGCATGTTTTCCGACCACTACTTCCAAGTTCTAGCAATTGGCTGAGAGGAGTTTGGCCACAAGGGCAAAAGCGTACCAGGTAGGGGAGCCGTGGGCAAGGCTGGCAGGGTTGAGGGTGGCACACTTGAGAACACGTATGGTTCCCACATTTCAAGTCCCTGTAAAAACAAACAAACAAACAAACCATTAGACTATTACATAATTGTTGCATAAAACACAGCTTTATTCTAACCGAAAAAAATGTAAAACCTTACTTGCCACATATCTTTAAACAGCTGAAGTCCCCGAATCCATCAGACTTTCCTGTATCTGTTCCACATAAAACATCTCGAGGGGTGCTGCCACAGTAGCATACTTGAGGACACAATTTCAAAATCAACAGATTAGTAACTTGTATCTGTTCTTAATATATTTTTAACAATCTATAAGAAAACACAAAATGCAGCCAGTAGGGTGGTGAATGCCTGTAATCTCAGCACTCTGGAAGGCTGAGGCAGGAGGAGTACAAGTTTAAGTGTAGCTTGGCAACTTAAGAGACTTAGTGATACCTTGCCTCAAAATAAAAAATGGGCTGGGAATGTAGGACATTGAGAAGGTCCTGGGTTCAATCCCCATTAATGCAGAGGGAAGAGAAAAAATAAAACCCAAAATCTCTTCACAGAACTGCTGATCAGATTTGATGCAGAAATTAGTGTGGTTTATATACCAGCTCGAAGATCCAAGAGCTGACTACAGGAATAAACATAAAAGCCCTTGTTAAACTGCCAATGCCTCATTAGGGCCTCCACAGCACATCATGAGAACAGCATTCAGATGAAGCAACCCCTAAATTATGTAGAGTACTATCTGGTCCATAAGGCCATGGTGGAACATCCTGGGTTGTGTGTGAGGCTCCCTGGGGAGATGTCAAAGGGTATGGACAAGATAAACTGGTAAAAGTGATAGAGGGGTTGAACCTGGATCCCCATCCTCACATCAACACAAGCAGCATAGATTGGATGCTTTTATACTGGAATTCACACAAAATGGATAAGAAAACGTCCTTGCTACTAAAAGTACTTAAATTATCATGACAGCATAAAATCCTTAATTATTTGTATACCACTGTTAAATTTAAAGAAGTCATGTCTGAGTATTCATACTGAGTAAAAATGTCTCGAGTACTTTGAAGGGCTGGAGGTATAGCTTAGTGGTAGAGTGCTTGCCTAGCATCCAATCCCCAGTATCTCAAAATAAGAACAAAAAAATCTCATTCATCCAATAAAGATGTATCAGATGAATTAATATAGATATAGGAAAAAAATTCACATTTGTGGAATCAATGAATTGGTAAAAACTCCTAGCAACTGGGACTTCCTGCAAGCAGGCTTTTCTTTGCAAAGTTTCTGCTCACACAGCACAGAGCCTTTTTCCAGAGGTAATGAGCAGAAAGCTGTTAAGAGTTAAGGGTAAGAAAATTATGACAATAAAAACAAAATAGAGCCCTTGGTCAATCAGGAAATAATTAGTGTAATACTAAAAAGCTTTGTTATACTTAGGCACAAGTTGGAATCAACAGGGTCAGTCACAGATGGTTGGATACTACTAAGGAACCAAAGACAGTCTGGAGGAAGAACTCTGTTGCCTGCCTTAGTATGTTCAGCATTTTATCCACACATGAATGAACACCTCAAAGGAATGCTTATTAAATCTCTACATAAGGCTGAATGGGATGCTAGAAGAATTACCATTTGAGAAGATAAACTAATGCGTGGCCAAAATACTTTGTAGATATTTAACATCTACAGAAAAACTAAAAAAGTGATGGAGATGAAGCTCATGGCAGAGGCCCTAGGTTCAATCCCCAGTATCAAAGAGAGAGAGAGAGAGACAGAGAGAGAGAGAGAGACAGAGAGAGAGAGAGAGAGAGAGAAAGGAAAGGAAAGAAAAGAAAAGAAACACACAGTATTTTTTTTTTAAATTTTTTAAAATGTTTTGGTACTGGGGATCGAACTCAGGTCCCTGCCCTTGCACAGCAGGCAGCGAAACCACTGAGTTAAATCCCCGGCCCCAGCACAGTATTTATTTATCTATCCTTCCTCCAGTTGAGGAATATTTTGGTTTTCTGGTTTGGGGCTCTTATGAATACATATCCCTATAAAGCCTTTTTATGACTCAGGTACATAGGTCATAGGATACACAGGTTTACTTTTTTTTTGGTACTGGGGATCAAACTCGGGTCCTTGCGCTTGCACAGCAGGCGGCGAAATCACTGAGCTAAATCCCCGGCCCCACAGGTTTACTTTTATAAAAAACCGCCAGCCTTGTCTAAAATGGTTGTACCATTTTACACACCTGCCAGCAACGTATGAGAATTCCAGTTGTTCTAACCTTGCCAACATTTGGTCATTATTTTTATTTTAGCTGTTCTATTAATTGTAAACAGGTTCTTCACTATGGGTTTGGATTTTTCCCCCTTCCCCTTGATCCTCCTTCCTCACTGTGGATTTTTGAAAAAGTTTTACTGCAATACAATTTACATACTATGTAGTTCCAGAAAGGTCCACTGGCACTGCCAGCTGGTATGCACACCACTTACCCTGGTTCAGTATGATCCGACAAGGCTGGCACTGACCCCCATGGCACAGCTCAGCACAGTGGTGCTGACCACAGTTCAAAACGTTTTCACATGGGTTAGAACAGTGGACTGAGACAGCCTGACCACAGCGAACTGTGTGCCTGTAAAGATAGTAAAGACGTCACCTGTCTAAAAGTTTCTGTTGCATAGCTAAATGAACACTGAAGCCCAAACCTTCCCCTCAGAACCTACTGACCCTCTCTCAACATTGCTGCCCCTTTTTCCTACGTTTCCTTCCTCAAATTCTTATTTCCTTAATTACTCCCCCTTCACTTTCTTCTTTCTCCTTTGTTGTTGTTTTTATATCCTAACCTGTCTTTCTCTCCCTTATTTTCTCATCAGTGAGAAATTGAAAGCTATTTTAGAGAATTTGTTCTATGTGATCTCATCCAAGTTCCATGAAGCAGCATGTGGTGGGAGAAAAGAGCCCTGGAGTGAGAGGCTAGATGATCCCCAGATTATAGTCCTAGTTTTGCCTAGAGCTCCCACCTTACAGATTGGGGAAGAAAGGTACCCAGCTCTGACATAGATTGAAAACACAATAACCTTGTCCTGGGACCAGCATGTTGGACATTTTATACTGCTATATTACTAGATATGTCTTTGATTCAGAGTGGGGAATCATCCTAGCTTTGTTCTTATAAACATGCTAATTTTGCAGACGTATTAGCTTTTCGACACTGTCTTTAGGTCTCTTTCTAGGGTTTAATATTTGGAGTCTACTCTCCTGCAATGAGTTTTATTCCATCCCTTAATCATGTCAATGACATATTTTGTTTTAAAAGTCACTTTTAGGACGTGGATTTAGCTCAGTGGCACTGTGCCTGTCTTGCAAGCTCAAGGTCCTGAGTTTGATCCCCGGTACTGGAAAAAAAAAAAGTCACTTTTAGCTTGGTGTTGTGGCACATCCCTATAATCTTAGCTACTCAGAAGGCTGAGGCAGGAAGATCGTGACTTTGAAGATAGCATGGGCAAAATAACAAGACCCTATCTCAAAAACAGCGAGACCCTGGTCCGGGGATTTAGCTCAGTAGCACCGTGCCCACCTCACAAGTGCAAGGTCATGAGTTTGATCCCTGGTACCACAAAAAAAAAAAAAAAAAAGATAACTAAATGAAATAAAGTAAAAATAAAGTCACTGTTCTAATACATAGATGATCGGTGTACAGATGATCAGCATAATGGCTACCATCAGGCTATTTATTATACAACCATATGCCCAGCACCGTGGCTAACATCAACTTCTTGAGATACACTATTATTTCAATTTTATGATAAGAAGAATGAGACGCCACAAGATTGTACAACTTGCCCAGGATCAACAAACAAGTTATGCAATAGACCCCAGATCCGATCTTCTGACTCAGAATGCTTGCATGTGTCTCACATGTGTAAATACTGAACAGTTTTTCTGGTGTGAAAAACTAAAAGTGTAAATAAGGATCAAAATGTATAACTGATAATGTGAAATAGGAAGAAAAGATCTAAAGGAGTAGAGGAAGTGGGAGGGGTAGGGGAAAGGAAAGAAGGGAAAAGAAAAAATATGAGAAAAGGAAAAAATGGAAACAAAATCTTTGTAAATAGGGATGGGTGGAGAGGGTGAAGGGAGGGCAGGGGAATGGGGAAAAAATAATAACCAAGATACATCATGTAAAGGTACAAGACCCCAGTGATGAAAATAACTGTACTATATACCTAAAATGTACCAATAAACTTAAAAAAAAATGCTTGCATGTGTCTTGTAGGCCACACTGCTACAAAAGCACATCCCTGAGTATGTGCATGATCTCATTTTGTCTCAGGGTTGAGAAATCATTTTAAGATCTTCCTGGGCCTTACAGGCACTCCATAGCCATCAGTGGTCCTTGCACTGAAGATGCAGGAGAACTTACATTATAAGGGGGCAGGATTACTGCAGTTACTTATTCTTTCACGCAACAATATTCACTGAAAAATCTCCTAGATGCCAGACACTATGCTAGGCACAGAAAAAAAGGTGCCTGCCTCTTGGACCTTAATAAGCCTGGGCTCACCTCCTGGCATTGTTACCCATTGGAGAGGTTAAGAGGACCAGGGATTTAGCTCAGTGGTGCCGCTGCCTTTCTCACAAGCGCAAGGTCCTGAGTTCGATCCCAGGTACCAAAAAAAAAGTAAGACTGGCATTTTAGGGACTGGGGATTTAGTTCAGTGGTTCTGGTGACTGCCTTGCATGTGCAAGGTCCTGAGTTCAATCCCCGGAACCAAAAAACAAAATCACACCTTGTAGAGAGGTTAAGAAAATTCTTGTCACTTTGGCATTTCACTGAATGGGTAATTTTACAATCTCACTGTGCATACAACTTCTTAATCACCTATAAGGTTGTAAAACAGGATTAGCAACATAAATAAACTACTATTATAAAACAGTCCCACAGTTGGCCCTCCATATCAGTTCCGCTCTCACAGATTCAACCAAGAGCAGGTAATTTTTTAAACAACTGTATCCGTACTGAACATGTTAAGATTTGTCTTTATTCCCTAAACAATATAATTTAACAGTTTATTTACATGATATTTACATTGTATTAGATAATATGAGTAATGCAGAGATGATTTAAAGTACACAGGAGAATATATGTAGGTTATATGCAAATACCACACCATTTTGTACAAGGGACTGAGCATCTGGAACCAATCCCCCATGGATGCCATAGGATCATTTTACTACACTTGCCACTTATTTATATCCACTAATTAATCTTTTGTTTTGGAAATTCACAAGTAAATCATGCATTTACTTCTAAAGAAGACTGAAGTCTTGTTTAGAGTACAATTTTAACTTTACCTGGTTCGTCCACATTCACATGTTTTAGTCATAAAGGCAGGGCAGGGTGGGCACGGTCCAGGATGGCAGAGACTAAAAAAGAAAGGCTACAGTGAATAAATCATACCCTGTACCCAAACCAGAACAAATCCGCTCCAACTGGGCCCTATTATGAATATGGCAACAAATAAACCTACTATGAAATGTTTTAGCATTTCTCTAAATCTTAGCAACTTATCAAGATCCTATCTCAAAAAAAAAATCAAAAAGGGCTGGGGATGTAGCTCAATGTGATGGCTCTAGGTTCAATCTCCGGTACCTACAAAAATAAAGAAACAGGATTAAAAGTTCCAGCCCAGCATGGGCAACTTCACAAGACCCTGCTTCATAATAAAAAATGATAGTGCATACCTGTAATCCCAGCACTTCGGAAGCTGAGGCAGGAGAATCACTGAGAGTTTTAGGGCAGCCTAGGCTACATAGTGAGTTCAAGAGCAGCCTGAACTGTATAGTGAGACCTTGTCTCCAAATTAATTAATTAATTGAAAGGGGTAGTGGTAGTGATATAGTTCAGTGTACAGCCCCTGGCTTCAATCTCCAGTACCACAAAAAGAGAAGAAAAAAAAAAAAAATCAAGCCAGGCCTGGTGGTGCACACCTATAATCCCAGCACTGGCTGGCTGAGGGAGGAGATTGAGAGTTCAAGGCCAGCCTGGTCTACACAGTAAAACCCCATCTAAAAAAGAAAAACCAAAAACAAACAAAATACCCAAACCATGACATTAATTCTTATCTTAGGACATTTAATCAGAAAACTAAAGCCCAAGTCAAAATACTGGTTTTATTTGGGTGTGAGAAAGATGACATTTTCAAATATGGCACTGGCCCACTTACAGCAGTCTGTGAGAGATAAAAACAGCTTGCCACTCAGGTGACTGGCAGAATGCCCAACAGAGTCCTGTACAAGATCAGATTCTGAGCAAAATAATAGAGCTCAAAGCTACTAGACCCATAAGAAGTACAGTCCTTTTCAGCTAATGAAGCAATCATCAGGCAATGGGCTAACCATGGGAACAGTAAGAAGGTGACATGAAGGGTGGCATGCTGGTAAGCAACAAAGGGAGAGAAGGAAGAGGTAAGTCTACTCAGATCTCTGAGTAGAATGCTTTTTATAGGAACTATATTACAGAAACCAGCAGGAAAAAAACTTACAAAAAAACTTTGAATTTGTACATTCAAACAAATAATACCCTCTTCAAAGCAGACAACCTAGCAAATCACACAGTAGCTCAAAAATACATTTTGGGAGCTTTTATAATAACTTTTTTTTTAAAGAGCGAATTTTAAGTGATGGCAAAGTACAATCCCTTGGGAATTAAAAGGCAACCTGAAGCAAATCTAATTAATCCCTTTGGTAACAGAATTTTATGTAAAAAGTAAAAAACAAAAACAACACAGGTGCCTATAATGTAGTCTGGCTGGGATGATGATGATTACCATACTAAGGACTGAACCCAGAGCCTTAGCACTGAGCTCCACCTCTAGCCCTATTTATTTATTTAGGTACCAGGGATCGAACTTGGGACCTTTTCCTTTCCAGGCACGCGCTGGAACCACTGAGCTAAATCCCCGGCCCTTTATTTATTTATTTATTTATTTAGGTACTGGGGATCGAACTCGGGTCCTTGCACTTGTGCAGCAGGTGGCAAAACCACTGAACTAAATCCCCAGACCCTTTATTTTTTATTTTGATACAAGAGTCTTATAAGTCACTAAGGTTGCCCAGGCTGGATTCCAAATTGCAATCTTCCTACTTGAGCCTCCCAGAGTGCTGAGCTTACAGGTGTGCACCACCATGCCCAGCTTGGGATTTCTAGCTTTATATATGACTCCTAAACCTGAGAACTCTTTTTTTTTTTTTGGTACCAGGGATCAAACTCAGGACCTTGTGCTTACAAGGCAGGCTCGGTGCCACTGAGCTAAATCTCCACCCCCCTGAGAACTCTTTTAAGTAAGGTTTGAACATTGGAAACAATCCAGGAATAAGAGCCTAAGTCTTCTAAGGTGAACTTTATTGACAAAAAGTCTTAGACATACATTTAGGCAGGTCTCCTAAAAGATGAATGTGATTATACAACAGTTATATTTCACATGATATGGCTCAATCCCTTCAGGTAAAACAATTTAAATAATTTTAAATGATAGATAAACTGTGGGGCAGGTATGGGTGACTCCAAGTAATTTCAAACGTCCCTGAGGTCTCAACTCAATCCCAGGTTTTCTTAACCTTTTAAACAATGGTTTGCAATGCTGGCTATATACTGGATCCTTTCTGGGGGGGAGGGGGGCAGTACTGGGTATTGAACCCACAGCCTTCACTGAGATACATCTCCAGCTCTTGTTTTTTATTTTGAGATAGGGTCTCACTAAGTCGATAAGTTGCTTAGGTAGGTTTGAACTTGCAATCCTCCTGCCTAAGCCTCCTGGAATGCAACGATTACAAGCATGCACCACCACATGTGCCTACATCTAGAGTTTCACCCACTCCCACAGGTTGTGATTGTTTTACCCACTTCCACAGATTGAATTGCTCTGAGACAGAGCCTCAGTACTGGTGTTTTTAAATGTTCCCTAACTGATTTCAATAACCAGCCAGGATTGAGAACCACTGCTCTAGAGGATTTTATGACCTAACCCAAAATAGAGGAAAAGGACAACTGAGGCTTCTGAGTTCTGGTAAGTAAGAGACACACAAAGCTTTGTCTGAGACCTGGAAAGAATTGTTGGGGAATGGACTTTAGCAACGTCTAGAGTCCTTACAGGAGTAAAAGAGTTTCCAGGCCAAATGTAGGATTTCCAGAGCCACAAAAGAACAGGTCATAATGTACTCATTCCTTCAGACATGGTGTTTACTACTTGATCCGCATGACTTCTGATGTTCTCTGGTAGTCACGATAAAAATGCCAGCTAGTTAATTTAAGAAATGAGTCCCTGAGGAAGGAGTCAATTGGAGAGAGGCAGCTAACTGCTCAGCAAACCACAGGCCATGCTCTTTAGCCCAGTCTGAAACAACTCTACCCCACTGACCACTCCTTGGCACCACTACTATCTTCCCTTGACCACAGGTCCCAGGTCAAATATTTACCTCAGCTCAATATTTACCTCAGCAGAAGCACTGAGATAACATTCTTATGTCTGTTTTGCTCTTGGATTTGTGTAATAAAGCAAGAAATAACCATTTTTTGACCATTTGGCAGATTCGGTACCAAACCTCCTAGATGCATTCATTTAATTTTCATAAAACTCACATAATAAGTAGTATTATTCCCATAATTATTATTTTATAGATGTACAAATTTAGGCTTAGAGAAGTTATGTAACGTACTAGGTCACAAAACTATTTAAGTAATTCAAACCTAAGATTTAAATCTTTATCTGAGATCAAAATCTAAAGAAATTTATTTGTAACTGATCAACTATTTCTCTATGACTACATTTCTCTTATTATTTAGAAGCAGAATGGATACTTTTTAAAGCTGGCTATTTATTAGAGGTCAAAGATTCATATCCTAAAAATACTATCAGATAGGATGCTACACAACTGCCTTTCCCCCCAACATCAAAGACTGTCCCATATACTCTCTTGGACCTAGCACTGGAGGATAAAATAGCTAAGTCTTATTTCTTTTTAAAAGGCAGCACTGTAATATAGTGAAAAGAGGGCTGGCTTTGGAAATCCTAGCTCCACCACATCCCAATACTGATGCTGGGCAGGATGCTTGACCTTTCTGAGCCTCATATGTAAAGTGGAGATGATAAATACATTATCACTTGGTTGTGGTAAGAATTCAACAAATTAACTCATGTAGAGTGCCTGATATAGAGTGATGCACAGTAAAGGGTACCACATCACCCTCCACCCTGTTCTGTCACATGGTAACCAATTATGTGTACACACAGCCACCAGCAAACATGTGCACTAGGAATCCCCAGATGTTCAGCTTTTCCAACTTACAGATTACAGGAATGTGGGCAATCCTGGCCAGGCTGTTTCCTTCTACAGACCTCACCACAACTATGTGGAATTTCATTTCTGCTCCATTCAGGATTCTTTACCTTGCCTAAAACATATGAGATCAATGTCAATGCTACAAATTTCAACCATATCCTTGACTTCAATGAAATAGTACAGTATATAGCTAGCTAACATGAAACTTAAGTGTGGTTTTCATTAATTACTTCAACAAACGCATTATCTCACATCCTAAAACAAAAAAAACCTTCCAGCTAGGCATAGTGAGTTCAAGGTCAGCCTGAACTACATAGCGAGACCCTGTCTCAAAAAACTAAAACCAAAACAAAATGAAAAGGTTCTCTGAGTATGATAAATCATAAATTCTACATTACCTGTGAAAAATGTCATTTTACTTACAAAAATGTAATTTTCACTAATGAATACATTTAATCTAAGATCAATACCTACTAGATCAAACTTTCGGCTTGATAAATATCTACAGTAAAGATCAGAAGGAAATAAGGGAAGAAAAGTATTGGGGTAAAGGGGAGAGGAGGAGGTTTTCTGTAAGATAGAATGGATATAAAGCTCCTATACAGTAGGAATTCACCTATTCTAAGGCTATAAAATAGACATAAAAGGGCTATAATTTTATAATCAATGTCACTCTGAAAATCTTTTCTTTTTTTTGAGACTATGTATGTTTAGGTTGGCCTTGAACTCACAGCAATCCTCCTGCCTCAGCCTCCTGAGTGCTGGGATTACAGGCATGTGCCATCATGCCCAGCTCACTCTGCAAATCTTTACTGGGCATCTTCCTTGGACTTAGCAGAGAAGCTGAGAATAGTGAAACCCAGGCACAGGACTCCTTGTTGCTCTTGAAGAATTCGTCCTCACTTGCATAGTTCACACACGAAATGATAGTTATCTCCAGTCTTAGGCCTCTGCTTTCTCTCTATATTGTTTCTTTTAGAAATTTTATCCAAATCTACATTTTCTGCCTTGCCCTAAATCCACACTGTCATCCTACATATCCAATGGCCTTCTGAACATCTGCTTGGGGTTTCCATCACCTCTGACTTATCTACACCCAAAGTTTGTATTTTTTCTCTAAAGCCCCTCCCTCTTCAGTGTTCCTTGTTTCTGTTAGTAACATCAGCACTGTCTGAGACAGACACTCAAAAACTACAGAAATCACTGGCTCCTCTTTTTCTTTCTATTCTCTATCTAATCTCCAAGTCTTTTTCATTTTTCTTGCAGTCTCTCACCTCATCTTCCCTATTCATTCTCTTGTCTCATACTGGCCAAAATCTCATCTCCAGACTATCACAAATGCTTCCCTGCCTCTGTGCTTTCTACACTTCCTTGGTTTTGCCAACATCTTTCAGTGGTTCTACCTCTTTTCCTTTAGTCAAAATGACAGCTTTTGTTGTGGCTGTTGTTTTGTCTTTTCTCTGCTAGGGCTCTACATTACACCCTTTTCTCACTCCTTACCCTTTTATCCATTAGGATCAGCTGCTCCTCTTAACTGCAATTATCACCCCTAAGTTCTAATCCCTCTGCAAATATTTCTACCTGCCTGTTGGACATCACTCACTGGATGTCCTGCCCATTCCCTCCAACCCAGTATTTCTAACCTGAACTTGCTGTTCCCACCAAACCTAGTTCTCTTGGCCTACTCTTTTCCCTGGTATCATCATTTCCAAAAGCATGAACTCTGGAGTCACATTTGGGTCCCTCCCTTTCCCAACAAATAGGACTTGTTGTTAATTCCTAACAAATAGGAATTGGTGTTAACAATTATTTATTTTAGAAATTTTTACTTTTTCCTTTCTATCCCACTCATTGTAGACTTAAATTACTCTTAGTCTGGATTATTGTAAGTTCTCAAACTGCTTAGACTCCAAAATACTCTCACAGCCAACAACTAATCTCCATAAAGTATTGATGCCCTCAATGGCTTTCCACGGCCTAAAAGGGTCACCTTTCCAGTCATCTCCTATTCTTCTACCTTCATAGGTCCTGGAATCTATAAATGGATGATTCCTTTGTCTCCCAAAAGACTGCAAACCTCCTTAGTTTTGAACTTCTGCTTATACCATTCTCTTTAAAAAAATAAAAATAAATAAAACCTTCTTGCCTACCCAGTGTTCAAGCCCAGTTAAATTCTACTTTTCATGAAAGCTTCTGTTAATTTTTTAGCTAAACGTCACAGCTCGTCCAAGGACCCCCCATAGCACTTTGTAGTTCTAGTGCAGCATCAGGTTAACTGGGTTTAACTCTTAAACTGTAAGGTCTGGAGAATCATTAAAAGGTCTATTCCCATTTTTTCACAGTACAATAGCAAATTCTCAATAAAAGGACACTAAATTAATAATCTTGAAGAACTGTGAGGGGCAAAGCCACCAGGGTAAATAAGGCCATTATTTATATTTCCATATCATTTTCTCTTATATTATTTTGACCTTTGCTGCACATTCTTATGTCTTCTTAGGTTCTCTTATCTAACTTGTCAGTGAAGCTTCCAACAAGGTTTTTAATTCCATGGTGGTACTTTGTGCTTAAAAATCCTTTAAGGTAATTAAACCATGATATTGTCCTATTTATCTATTACCCACCCTCCCTTTGGTTGTTTGAAACAGGGTCTCATTATGTATTCAGGCTGGCCTTGAACTCACTGTATATCCCAGGCTGGCCTTGAACTTACAACAATCCTTTTGCCTCAGCCTCCCCAGTTCTAGGATTACAGGCATGCGCCACCATGCCTTACTCTAATTTTCAATTGACCCCTTGTTTCAAGTTTCGTGCTCCCTTTCCAGTAGTACACTCAAGAATATTCATTCCTTCAACTAACAATATTTAATATCTACTAAGGCTCAGATTTTAGAAATAAAACACACAAAGTCCAGAAGATTCTAAATAAAAGGATAGCCAAAATGAAAGAGGGAAAAATAAAGGCAAGGCAAATAGCAATGAATTTATCAAAGGATTGAATCTAGAGATAAAGAGTTAATAGTAATAACTCTTGTTGAAAACTGCTATTTTTTTTTTTTTTTGGGTACCGGGGATCAAACTTGGGTTCTTGCGCTTGTGCAGCAGGTGGTGAAACCACTGAGCTAAATCCCCGGCCCTGAAAACTGCTATTTAAGTAATGGGAAGGCAGCTATGCTCACCACTATACCACCAACGCCTGTTTATTTAAGTAATGGGAAAGGAAAAATATCAGCAAATTGGTTAGAAAAATAAGGAGAGCTTGCAGAAAGAGAAGAGCTAGTGATAATAAAAAGGGAAAGGTCAAAGTGTCAATGGTCATGCTGCCAGAAAGATTAAGAATTTAGGGCTGGGGATTTAGCTCAGTGGTGTTGCTGCTACCTGCCTCACAAGCACAAGGTCCTGAGTTTGATCCCCAATACCAGGAAAGAAAAAAGGATTAAGAATTTATAAACAGGGGCCGGGGATTTAGCTCAGTGGTTTCGCCACCTGCTGCGCAAGTGCAAGAACCCGAGTTGGATCTCCGGTACCAAAAAAAAAAAAAGAATTTATAAACAGCCCTTGATGTGGTCAGGAAGGGGTCACTGAAGACTTCTGAACACAGTTTCCATAAGGAAACAAGGACAAAAGCAAAAATGCAGTAGTGGTTCAAGAAGGCAGGCAAATAGGAACAAAATCTGAAAAATCAACTAGATAGAGAAAGCCAGTTATTAAAAGTCAGGAAGGAAAAAAGGAAAGTCACAAAGGAAATAGAGTAGCACTAAGAATGAGCATTTGGATCAAAGAAGGCTTTCTTCTAATATACAGGAGGAAATGAGCTATTCAAAACCAGAAAGAAGTCTTCCGTAATGAGGGAGGATGCAAGGATAGGGTTTATAATGTTGGCTTATAGAAAATTTCTCTCTTGATTATAAAGATAAGTGACTTATTTCTTGGATTAAAATAACCACTACCTCGTTGTTGTTGTTCTTTGGTACCGGGGATTGAACTCGGTCGGGTCCTTGCACTATGGCAGCAAGTGGCAAGAAATAACCACTACCTTAACTCACATGGCTCAAATCTAGACTATCAAAGCTATTACAATTGGGCTGAGAGGGAGTTTCATGTTAATATGTACCTCTACTGCCTGGTCAGCTCTGGTCTTAAGCTAAGACCGAAAAGAGCAGCACCACAGCTCAGAAGGAGCATGAGCCTGGTGGAATGATGGGAAGGCCCATCTTCAGAGCAGCATGTCAAGAATGCAAAGACCTATGACTCTGGCCATGTGACAGACCCATGAACACAATGTTATCAACTCGTACCTTGGAAGTCTTATTAGTAACTTCTAAAACAAGCCCAGCAGACCCCCTCTCTTGGACTGAGAACTAAGGTACAATGCATGAAATAAAAGATACTCCAGTATATGCAAACAAACTTACCACAGAAACAAGTGTAGGTATTAGGAACATGTGCAGAAACATTCTGACAGGCAGGGCACCTCCAACCACTCTGGCCATCTGTCAAAAAAATGAGAGTAAGCCAAATCAATTTTCTTTCAAATGCACAAGTAACTCAGTGGCAGACTATGTGCTTAGCATGCATGTGGCCCTGGGTTCAATCCCCAGGGTCCCCCCAAAAAGAAAACACAAATAATTTTTGAAAATTTAGGGCTGAGGATATGGCTTGGTGGCAGAGGATGGCCTAGTATGTGCAAAGCCCTGGGTTTAATCCCCAACACCACAGAAAAAGTTTTAAAATTATATCGAAACTTAAGTAGGGCATGGTAGCACATGCCTGTAGTCCCAGCTACTTAGGAGGCTGAGAAAGAAGAATCAATTGAGCCTATGAGTTTTCAAGACCAGCTTGGGGATATGAAGGCAATGTGGCTCCAACATGTCACTCTACTGATTATTAGGGTTGAGTTGGCTGATCTGGCTGGCTATATGAGTATCCCCTTCCTTCCTCATTGTTCCATGTGTGTCCTGCCTGAAGCTGTGCGCTTGGTTAAAGAGGACAACCCTCCCCGATAGAGGAGGACCATTTCTTAGGTCAAGGGTATATGAGTAGCTGCATTCCCCCACTAGAATCTCCAAACAAGCTATCAGGAACAGCTTGGGCCATAAGGTGACAACCTGTCTCAAAAAAAATTTGTTTTAAATCTATAGAAAACCACACTATTGAGCCAATTGTAGTAATTTCAATGTTAAGTATGTCAGACATTTAAGAAACAAATTCATAATAGTGAATGCTTTGCTTAAATACCACATTTGGGGCTACATTTATAAGGACTTTCAGATACAATGAGTCAAGCAGGTATGTGGTTCAATAAGATAAACTATTTGAGTACATGCAAGAAAATTCCAATGTTTTGAATTAGAGAGGCACAGTTCAGGAAGGATATATAGTACATTTTGGAAAAGCCCATAATAAATATGCAGAAGATATGTGAAAGGCAAAACCAACTTTAATATGAGGGTAAACAGTTGCTTTGTATTAATTTCTAAAGCAAACTATACAATAAATACAAGTTGTTACTTGGATAAAAGATATCATTTTCAATAATAATGACCAATTTTATAATACCCTAAACATTTTATTATTGCTATGTTCAGTGGTTTAATTTAAGAATTTAAGATTGATGGCTTAATTCTGGTCACCTGAAACATGTGATCAGGCAACATACTCTTCTTGCAGGTTAGATATTTAAGAAGATTTAGTATTTTTTTTTTTTTTTTTTGGTACCGGGATCGAACTCAGGTCCTTGCACTTGCACAGCAGGCAGCGAAACCACTGAGCTAAATCCCCGGCCCAGAATTAGTATTTTTAAAGCTAGATTTACAAGTTAAATATATCAAGTAGGTGAGAATAACTACTCAGAAAAAGAAATAATTGACCTGCTTGAGATGCTGGAGACCTTGCCCATTTCTTGATACAGTTCAGATGAAACACATGATAACAACTCTGACAGCTCCACACTGGGGCTGTGACTCGAACTAACTCACAGCACACCATGCATTCATATTTTTCTGTAGTTAGCTGTTCAATTAGAGAACCTGTTTAAAAAACAAAACAAAAAGATAAACTCAAACACAGAAAACCACTCTTCACTTTAGGAGCAGCAAGTCATTTGGGAGAAAAATCTGGAGAGAGAATTTAAAGGATCTGAGTAAAGCTGCTCCTCAGATGCTGAGGTCAAGAAAGGGCAGGAATGTGCTGAGGTAGAGGATTTAGAAAGGAGATATTTAGTTGGGGATTCTCATAATTCAAGAAACAGTACCAGGAATCTGCCCAGGACGAGACCATAGTAGCCAAATGCCCCTTTAACACAGCTTGAGCATCCCTGGGGCACTGTACTGCAGGTCTGAATGTAACAAATCTATGAATTTAGGTGAGGGTGAGGCTCATGGAACTGCAGTATCAGCTGTAAGAAGCCTAACCTTGGACCGGTTCCAACAGCCCACGGGTGGTGAGATGGCTCCAGCAGTTGCCTTGAAAGGTTTTTTTTCCCCGTGTAGTTTTTGGTCATTCACTAAATAAAGACATGATTGGTACCTACCACAAATCCCATGGTAGGGTTACCAGACTGAAGGTAACACAGTCCCTGGTTCCAGAAGTTCACCATTACTGAGACAGAATAGGGTACACCATCATAGGAATCCTCCCAGATTAAGGCAGGTGCAGTAGCACAAGCCTCTAGTCCCAGCACTGGGGAGGCTGAGGTGGGAGGGTCACTTGAGCGCAGGACTTTTAAACCAGCCTAGTCAACACTGTGAGACCTTGTCCAAACAAAACAAGACCCAGAAAACTCCCAGATTTATTCCTCAAGAAACAACTTCACTTGGCCTGGGGATTTAGCTCAGTGGTTTCGCCACCTGCTGCGCAAGCCCAAGGACCCGAGTTCCATCCCTGGTACCAAAAAAAAAAAAAAAAAAGAAACAACTTCACTCATTTCTAGGTTTTTTTCCTCAACCACAAATGAAGTAGTCTTTCTAGATCTTAATATAGCCAGGTACTTTTAAGTCAGAGGGAAAGAGAAAGAGAGAGAGCATGTGAGAGCAAGCTTTTTTGAGTATATACTTTTAGCATTTATTTTATAATACTGCTATTTATTTTCAGGTCCAAATAAGTAAAAGCTTAAAATGAGCTTATATACAACATACCAAGCACTGTGCTAATGTACTTTACATGTATTATTTAATCTTAACAAGGCCATAATATATGTACTATTTTATAGGTGAGGATATTGAGGCTCGGGCCGGGGATTTAGCTCAGTGGTTCTGCCGCCTGCCTCGCAAGCTCAAGGTCCCAAGTTTGATCCCGGTACCAAAAAAAAAAAAAAACCCACAAAAAAAACATAGGAAATTGAGGCTCAAAGTAAACAGATCACTTACCCAAGCTCACATAACTAAAAATGTGAAGGTCAAAATTAAACCTCACCACTATCTAACTCAAAAGCTCATCAATTACTCCATAATACAGGCTCTCCTAAGACTACTTTCTGATCAGTTTAGTATCAAAAGAAATACAGAACACCCTGAGATTATAAATTCCATGAGCAGAGATAGGGGCACATCTACCTTGCTTAATGTAGTATTTCCAATGTCTAGAACATAGTACATGCTCAATAAATATCTGTTGAGCTGGGTGTGGTGGCACATGCCTGTAATCCCAGCACTGAAGAGGCTGAGTCAGGAAGATCACTGTGAGTTGGAGGCCAGCATGAGCTATATAGTGAGTTCAAGCCTGAATTGCATGGTGAGACCCTGCCTCAAAATAATTTTTTTTGTTGAATTAAGAAATAAAGGAGCCAGGGATGTAGCACAGTGGCACTGTGCCTGCCTGGCAAGTGCAAGGTCCTGAGTTTAATCCCTGGTACCAAAAAAAGCAATAAATCAGTGATACCTAGTCTGTTTTGTAACTTGTTTTCCTGTAAATTGAAGGTTTCACCAAAGTTCCTGGAATGCCTCCCAAACCTGAAATAAAGATACTTTGTGTGGCTAATTAAAAGGAAATTTACATGCTTTGGTAACAAATGAACATACCATAAGACTGAAGAACAAGACCTAGATCCTTTCTTTTTTTGGGGGGGGGGGTACTAGGGATTGAACTCGGGTCCTTCCGCTTTCAGATAGGCGGCAGAACCGAGCTAAATCCCTGGCCCCTAGATCCTTTCTTAAAAGCAGGGCTGCCCTTCCCTGCACAGATTAGCATCTCTGAATATCTGAATAACTCTCTCTCTCTCTCTCTCTCTCTCTCTCTCTATATATATATATATAT